GTTGGATTTGAATCTCAGCTCTGATACAAGAAGCTCTATAACTCTGGGCCAAAACTTAACTTGTCCACGATTTAACCTACTCATGTGTTAAATGGGGACTATTATCATAGTACATACCTCACAGGGTTGCTGTGAGGATTAAATTAGCTAAAATAAATAAGACACTTACAACATGGTAAATGCTATTTACGTGTTTGCTATTATCATTCAGAGGAGAGTAAATAAAGAGGCTCTAAGTGAACCAAACATACCATTTTAAGGCCTGAACTTTTTTTTTTTTTTTTGTAGTTTTTGGCCAGGGCTGAGTTTGAACCCGCCACCTCCAGCATATTAAGCCTGCACCTTACTCCTTTGAGCCGCAGGTGCCGCCCAGGCCTGAACTTTCTATTATAACATCATATGTGGGCCTTTTACTTTATTCTTGGTACTCAGATTTGTTCTAAGCAGCTGTATGACTCAGAAGAGTATACTACATTCGAGAATTTCTTTTTTCCTCTCTGCATTTATTACTTCTGTTTAATAGGTGTGTGAGTACATTAGTCTTCTGCTAAGGCTGTATGCAAAAAGTTAATCCCAAGTTTATAGGAAGAGATCAAGAATCATGACACATGTTCAAAGCTTACATTACCTTTATAATCAAGGAGGTACTACTATTTATCTCTCCTCCTAGGAGGGTCCCTCACTCAAGCCCAGATAGAAATATCAATATAGAAGATAATCCAACCTGGATGCGGTGGGTCACTGCTGCAGTTTGTTTGTGCGAAGTCAAGATAATCATCAGGAAGAAGGAGGAGTCAAATCTAAAGGACAGAGACAGACAGCAAAGCCAGAAACCCAGAGAAAATACAGAAACACCAAGAGATTCAAGTTGATGACACACTAAAGAGTTCAGACCTTTCTTGAATAGTCAGAACACTGTCATCAGAACAATGACTCCTGTCCTGTCTCAGCCACACGCCAGGGTGGGGCAGGCCAAGCTGCTGAAGGAAACTGTGATACACCAGAATCAATTGTTGAATGTGTCATCCTATTACTTATGTGCTTCCTTTCAGAAGTGATAAATACGAAGTACTTTCAGACCCTGAAAATCATTCTTTCCTGTATTATTAATTCCAAGTACCATAGTTCAGCAGTCAACTTACAACATAAAGTTCTCTGTTATTTAAATCACATTTTTTGCCTTCTCTAAGAGACAATAAGGGAATAGCTGCCTAGCCTTCAAATGAAACACTCAAAATACAGTTGCTTATGGTCTCAAGGAGTTTCTTGCATAGGGTAGGAGTGAGTTGAATTTTCCATTTCTTACAAACTCTGAGCAAAGGCTATTTCCAAGTAGCATGCTATTTTATTCTGAAACTCAGTGAACTTTTTTTCACTATTAGGGAATCTGCATAGAAAAAAAATCAATAGAAATAATGAAAAATAAAAAATGAGAGAGAAAAATGCCGCCAAGTAAATTCCTTAGATTAAGACTTTGGCCAATCAGACTGGAAATCAACCTTAATAGCATCTCTTGTTTCTCCTGAGCCATCAGAAACTCTCATCTCAAAATGCTAGAAACTTTACTGGAGAAAGCTCCCAACATGCAAAGGAGGACTCTAAGAACTGCTTCTGAAAACAGAAGATTCTAAAGGCTGATACAATCTCAGAATTGAGAAGACTGGAAATCAACTCTTTCTTCTCTCTACTTCAGCACATTTTCCCTCCATAGCATCCCTGCATGAGATTGATCAGCCTCTATTTGTACTATCAGTGATGGAGAACTCACTGTCTTACAAAGGAGCTCAATGTGTTTGCTGGACTAATTGGTGTGAGGGTGTGGAGTCACAGAAGGGGGTAGAAATTAGCTGATTACAAATGGACTTGGAGTATCTAAGGAACGGCAGGAAGGCTAGTGTGGCTGGAGAGAGTGGCAGGAGATCAAGTGAGCAGGCCTGGTATGACATGGTGAGAGTTATGGTTTTATCTTGAATATTACTGGCAGCCACTGAAGGGTTCTGAACAGAGAATGAGAGAAGCTGTTCAACATTTTAAGAAGAAAATTTTCATTCCTAAATGAAGAACTGACTGGGGACTTATAGGAGGAGATAAGGAAAGTTAGTTAGATCACCACTTCTACTATCTGGGCAACATAATGGGGACTTGGGGTAGTAGGGTAGTAGGTGTAAGGAGTGGGGGGACAAGGGTGGTTTGGGATATACATTGAAAAGAAGGCATAAAGGCCTTATTAATGGACAGGATGTCAGGTATGAAAGAAAAAGTCACAGATGACCTTCGGTTTTTGGCCTGAACAATGAAGATAAAGAGGAAGGGGGTAGATTTTGAGAGAAGAGTTCAAGTTCTATTTTAGGCATATGAGATTTGAAATGTTTATTATACCTTCAAATGTAGGTATTTAAATCACATAAATATGAGTCTAGAGCTCATGAGCGAGATCAAGGTAAATAAATAAATTTGGAATAGGTGGAATATAAAGCAAGAGATCACATGAGATCTTGTAGAAAATAAAAATGGAAGGACAAAGACTAAGTCCTGAAAAAGGTCGTCTTTTGGAGGCCATTTAGAGAAGGCAGCAAAAGAGATTTTTATGACCCTTCTTCAGAAATAAATTGAATTATTGTGTGTCTACAACTACTGAAGTCCAAAGACAACCATCATAGCCCTCTTCAAAAACCACCTTTTGGAGTCATGTGCTGCTTTCATTTCTGACTTCTGAACAACTGAGTCTGGATAGCTGCATTTCAACTATTCCTGGTCTCGGGTGTGTCCTAGTTTCTGGATCAAAGCTCTCAAAACTACTAGGAATTAATAGTTGTCCAACACTGACCAGGAGGTTAGTTGAGAGCATGTTTCTCAGAGCTGCCAAAAGTTCTTGGTTTGTGCTCAGTGAAGCACATAAGTGAGTGTTTGGCAATTCATCAGGTGACAGACAAGTGACAGGAAAGAGGACTGTAGAATGAGTCAGATCAAGATTAGAGAATGCGTAAGACCTTACTCTAGGCTAGTCACCCTGATCTGCTCTGGGTCATATTTGGTATGACCAAATATTGACCAAACATTACCCAGAAAAGGTGAAGTAATCCGAAGTTTACCATGTGTCCATGGAAATGTGTTAGCATTTCCTGGAAGCAGCTAACATTAAGAAAGGAACTATAGGTACTGCACACAGTGGGCACTTGTTCTTGCTGTCCTCCAGTCCGAGGGTTAGGCTGGAGATAACTGTTACCCTCCCAGCCTTAACTGTAAACAGAATTCCAACCTATCCCATAGGTTGTGAAGATTAAATCACATAATTTAAGTAAAGGGGCTGGTATTTAGAAAATGTTCAATATACATGCATTTGCCATTCTTATTTATACTTTTATGACCACAAAATGTAGCCACCTGAATGGTAAGAATATCCCTAAAAACAATACTTTTAGTGCTCTTCTAGAACAGAATAAAAGTTTTATTTTGTTTGTTTTGTATGAACTATTACATGATCAATGGAATTTAAACTTAGCCTGAAAAAACTATCCTCTCCTTTTCTGAACTTTTCCACCAAAGTTAGCACAGTCATGTTAAATAACTAAGAAGTAAAGCTGTAAATCTATTAACATGAGATTACTTCTAATATCACTTCTAAAAGATTATCAAGTGAAACAGAAATCTCCAAGCCCGATGATTATTCTACAAGAGTTATTTAGGCATGTTTTGTTGTTTTAAATGTCCATATCCTTTAAGTATATTTTTATTTCCCTTTATGAAATTTTATGACTAAAGTCTTTAAATAAAGTCAGTAACAAAAGCAGGAAATCATTCATAAGACCAGCAGGCTATTTTATTTTTACTAATGAAAAATTACATAATAGTTTCAGCAAGTGACAGAGTTCTTTTAATATTTATAGAAAAGCAAGAGTCATGCTGGAAACTGAGAATTTCTATTATTTGACAGCAATCAATTCTGTATCATTTTAGATCAATTACAGAAATGGCTATGTAAGAGTTATGTTCACTGTTATTCATACTCACTGAACAACACATCAACTGTGTCTAGTACTTGACCTAGAAGCTTAAGGGGGTATATGACTTAACAAAACTACACTAACAGGGTCTTAACTCCAAACAACGAAGTCACATCATTGGCCCTTTTGTCAGTACACATTACACTAAAGAAAAGAAAAAGAAATAGCAGTGTACTAGGAACCATTTAAAGGTCCTATTTAATTCAAAGTACTATACAAAACTACCAGAGAATACTAAAGCAGCCTAAAGAAGCAAAGAGAAAATCTGTAACTAAGTACGAGAAAATATTTACAAACACCGTACCAATGTTCAAAAAAATGAAATCCCAAATTCAAAAATACTTTTAAAACATGGAACCTAGACTTTTTAAGATAATCAGCAATTGTGATTTTTACTTCACAGAAAAGCAACTTCTAAACTATACTTTTCAAATCAATAATTTGATTCTTTTGCTTTAAATACTTTTATTTTGGAATAATTTTAGATTTACCAAATAGTTACAAAGATAGTACAGCATTCCTGTATACCCTTGACCCAGTTTTCCATAAAGTTAGTATCTTACATAACTACAGCACATTTGTCAAAACCAAGCAATTAACTTTACTATAAACTTTATTCACATTTCACTTGTTTTTTTGCTAATGTCCTTCTTCAGTTCCTAAGTACAAACCAAAGTACTATATTGCATTTAATGAATTCTTTTAATGCTTCAAGTTTTGCTATAGGACACACTACTGTGTTATTAACAATGTCTTCGTTACAATTATTATAGAAAATAAACCTAAAATTCCCTGGAAAGTATGATTTATTAAGTATTATGGAAATGTTACATGAAGATTCTTGTAAACTTGATATTTCTACTAATATTTTATTGAAAAGATAAAGAGGTAATTCACTAAGTAAGATATGTCTCACTGCCTACTTTGTCAGAAACCAATGAGGTCAAATTACTTAATGTCTCAGAACTCTCTCTTTAAAAAATGCTTGTCACTTACATATTTCCCAAGGTTCCTGAAGACTCGTTAAGATGTATGGTAAATCCTTCAATTTATTCTGTAATAGAATATAAAATAATATTATACTCATATTCAGATAATCCATTTTTACCAAATATATGTAAAAGCTGCTTTTCCTTCATTTTCAACCTTCATTTGTAAATTACTATATAATTTTATTAAGATAACAAAAGAACTAATTTAAGGGAAAATAATTCAATAGCTGATTACATGTCTTTAAAAATGAAAGCATGCAAAATTTAATAAAAGTTTTAGGACAAATAGAAGATACTAAAAAAAAAAAAAAAAGAAATGCCACAATGAATAAAACTGGCTAAGAAGAACGTTTCACATTCTTTTCCACGTGCATAATGTTGTGGAAATTACTAAACAGTCACAAACAAGTCATTTTCAGGGCACAGCTTTTTGACAGGAAAACAGTAATTAAGATTTTGGGATTAGAAGATTTTTGAAAGGATACATGTCTGGTAAAGTGTCCATGTGTGTCAGTTTGCCTGAGACAGTCCCGATTGATGCCTGTTGTCTCTCAGTGTCCCACTAATTTACCGTCTGTCCTGGAATTTTCATTTTCTAATGATTTTTTTTAAGGTAGCATTAAAATAAGCTGAGACTAATTTGTACTTTCAGGCTCTGCCATGATCTCATCAAGCTGTGTATGAGATGCATGTACAATGAAGTCAGCTGTCAATTTAATGTGTGGTTAAACCCGAAGGATACCTATTAGTAACAGTAATATCTATCTCTAGATGCACTGTAACGGATGCCTCACTCTCAAAGACAGCACCCAGCCCACCTGCAGAAAAAGGAAGGACGCTCAGACAGGAGCAGCTAGGGACAGCTAACTCCTCCAGTCTTCTAACACAGAAGAAATACTCAGTGTTGCTGCCTCTGCCGTGCCAAGCTCGAAGACAGCAATTTAACAAAAGCAGAAGGAGAAGGCGCTTTACATAGTATTCTACAAAGCATGACTTTTCATCTAGATCAAATGATTTTTTATTTTATCTTGCTCAGTTCTGATTCCAAATAAGTCTTATTTACACAGTCCAGGTAAAGTGATAGCTGTTAGTTTATTCACACCATCAGTAGAAAAAACTCACACTTAAATGATGCCATCTTTTTATCAGTGAAAGGAGATACAGCAAACAGAAAAAAATCAGTTAATTCCAATAATTGTTTGATTATTTCATCTAATTCATGAAATCAAAGTAAAGCATTTGGAAGTTCACTATGTACAACATGAAACATCTGACGTTGCTGGAATTGCCATTTAAATTCAGTTAAAAAGATCAACAAAGATAAAATTACAGTGTGTTCTTGTTACTCACAGAGGTTGAGTTCTATAAAGTCACCATGGACACTGAATTAGCAAGTACAAACTATTGCTCCTAGGAGAAATACAGGGTTAGGTTCCTGAGAGCCTAGGGTCACATTTTCATTAACTGACCACACATAACTTTGTTTTATGTGTGTTTCCATTTTAGGATATCTTATTTAATATATAATCATGTGCTGCATAATGTATAAAAAATTAAAGTATGATCACAATGTTTCATCAAATAAAAAATATATAGCATCAATAAAGAAAAATCATTAAAGAAGAAACAAATTGAAATTTTGGAATTGAAAAATACAAAAAATGAAATGGAAAAATTGCTCAGAAGAACTCAACAATTGATTCGAAAAGACAGAAGAATCAAAGAGCTTAGGATAGATCAATAATAATTTGCAATTTGAAGAACAGAGAGAAAAAAGAATGAAGAAAAATGAGATCTTCAGAGAAAAGTGGGAGATAGCTATGGTATGCATGAGTGCTCCCAAAATTCATGCAATGGAAACCTGGACCCCAATGCAGTAGTGCTGAGAAGTGGGACCTTTACGAATCTATGCATGGGGTGGCATCTGTAGCTCAGTGGGTAGGACGCCAGCCACATACACTGAGGCTGGCGGGTTCAAACCTGGTCCAGGCCAGCTAAAACAACAATGACAACCACCACAACAAAAAAAAGTAGCTGGGCATTGTGCTGGGCACCTGTGGTCCCAACTACTTGGGAAGCTGAGGCAAGCAAGGAATTGCTTGAGCCCAAGAGCTTGAGGTTGCTGTGAGCTGTGACTCTACCCAGGGTGACAGCTTGAGACTCTGTCTCAAAAAAAAAAAAAAAAAAAAAAAGAATCCACTCATGGACTAATGGATTATCAAAGGAGTGAGTCATCATGAGAGTCATTGTGTTATAAAAACCAGTTTGGCTTTCACTCTTGTGCCCCCTCACCATGTGATGCCCTGTGCACAGAGCCCCTACCAGCAAGAAGGCTCTTACCCAGAGGCCAGCTCCATACTCTTAGAATTCCCAGCCTCCATAACTATTAAATTTATTTTCTTCATAACTTACTTAGTTGATGGTTATAATAACAAAAATGGACTAAGACATACATCTTTAGGAGAAAAAAGAGTGAAATAGAAAAATATTTTTTAAAAAATGGTTGAAATCTTCCCAAATTTCATGGAAAACATTATTAATATGTACATCCAACAAGCTCAATAAACTCCAAACTGGATAAACACAAAGAGACACACTCAAACACATACCTAGTCAAAATGGTGACAGCCAAAGACAAAGAAAATCTTGAAAGCAGAAAAAGGGGGAAAAAAAGACTTGTCAAATATAAGGAAACCCCAATAATAACCTTATTAAAAAGCCTTAAAAAGCTGATTTCTCATCAGAAGCAAAGAAGGCCAGAAGGTAGAAGAATATTCAAAGTCCTAAAAGTAGACAATTGTGAATGATGAATCTTATATCCAGTAACACTATTCTCTTCATAAAATGAAGGTGAAATCAAGACATCTCAGAAAAACAAAAATCATAGAATTTGCTTATTGAATATTTACTTCACAAGAAATACTAAAGAAGTTCTTCAAGCTGAAAGCAAATGACACCAAACAGTAATTATAAGCCATTAAAAAAAAAAAAAAAGAGTGCCAGTAAAGGTATTTTGTACATAATTATAACCACTGTAATTGCATCCTTCCTCCTCTTTTTTTCTCTTAAGTGATTTGAAAATTAATTCAATAAAACATTATAGATATAAGTGTATTTCTAGGCTAATAACATTCATCATTAAATATTTTGACAGTAACAGTACAGAAAAAGCAGATGAGAACAAAGTCCATTGAAATAAGAAAATGACAGAAGAGCTAACTCGAATCCACAAGAATATATGGAAATGACACTAGAGCTAACTCAAATCCACCTGTATAAAGAAAATGAAAAATGAAAAGGTCAATACAACTACAAATATGTACTCATTCTCCTCTCAGCTTCTTCAAAAATTTAAGATTATATAATAAAGTAAAAATTATAACAGCATATTATTTGGTTTCTAACATACACAGACATAATGTATATAATAGCATTAAAAGGGGGACATAAGTAGAGCTTTAGAGAAGGGAAGTTTATTCTGCAGATATAAATCAGTAGATACTGGTAAATTAACTGTATGTTGTAAACTTTACAACAACCACTAAGAAAATAATTCAAAATATTTGATATAAAAATTATTAAAGGAATTATAATGTATACTAGAAGATACCATTTAATTTAAAAGAAAAGAGTAAAGAAAGAAAAGCAGAACAAAAAAGACAAGAACAAAAAGACATTCTGACAGGAGAAAGTCAAAATGGCAGACAGAAATCCAACCATTATCAGTGATTACATTAAATGTGAACAGATCAATCAATCCAATCCAAAGAAATTATCAGATTGTATTTTGTTTATAAAGTTTAAAAAAAGAACTATACATTGTCTATAGGAGACCCGCTTTAGATTCACTGATACAAACAGGTTGAAAGTATCACTGAAACAGCAACCATGAAAGAATCAGACAAAAATAAAAATATAAAGAGAGATTCTTCATAATGGTAAAAGGGTTAAGTCACTAGTAACATAAAACAGTTATAAGTATATATGCACCTAACAGCAGAGACCAAAAAAAACCTGAAAGGATAAAGAGACAATTCAAAAACTGGAGACTTCAATAGCTTCTTTCAATACTGACAGAATAACCAGGAAGAAAATCAACAAGGACACAGAAGATCTAAACAGTATAAGACAACTAGATTTACAGACTATACAATACTCAACCCAAGAACATAATACACATTATTCTTAAGTACATGAAACATTCTCTAAAACAGACCATATATGCTAGGCAAATATCCCTTAATAATTTAAAGGAATTAAATTAATTAGGCAGAGTGTTCTCTGAAAACAAGAGAATATAATTAGGAATCAGTAACAGAAGGAATTTGTGGGAAATTCACAAATATGGGGGAAAAACACACTCCTAAATAACCATTAGGTCAAAGAAGAAATCAGAAAGAATATAGATAGATAATACCTTGAGACAAACAAAAACTAAAACACAACATAACACGAGATGCAGCTAAAGAAAGTAGTGCTTACAAAGAATTTTGTACCTATAAATGCATATTATTTTTAATAGTTTAAAAATACTAAATTTAAATTTTTAATTTTGTACCTATAAATGCATATTTTTAAAAAAGAAAGATCTCAGATCAATAGCCTAACTATCCACCTGAAAAAAATAAAACATAGAAAAAGAAAGGCAAACTAAATGAAAGCAAGCAGATGGAAGGAAACAATAAAGTACAAACAAATGAAATAACAGAAAACAAGAAAGAAAAGCCAAGAAAATGAAAGAAAGGACGAAGGATTTGATGATGTCACTGATGATGACAGAAAGGGAGGTTTATTATTGGGAGAAGCAGAATTCAGATTGCAGGGAATTTAAGAAATAAGCAGGAAGAACAAAATGAGATAGCATATGTAGACTCTTCCTTCAATAAGCTTAAAGAAAGAGAATGAGAAGAGAGAGATTGAAAACACAGCCAAGAAGAAATGATTACTAGAATAAGGTCTCCTAAGAGACAGAAAGGATTAAGAGCCCAGGCAAAGAAACTGACCTTGGAAGTTATGGCAAAGGCCAGGTGTTGCCTACTCAGTCTTCCCTTCTTTTTAGATA